CGGCCATGGCTAAAATAAGAGTAGGGAAAACTTTATTTTGAAAAGGAAATATTTTGGATGTTTAGGGAAGGTATGGGAAGTGTGGGCTCAGCCTAGGGTGGGTGTAGGACAACCATGGTGTTGGGTTGGGTTCTAAGGCAGGAAAATGGAGAAGTTTCAACCCAATTAATGTCACCACACTTGGGTTTTATTCCCCTGATCCGTCTATCCCTTGGCCTAAGAGGTTAGGCGAAAGAGTATCGAACTGAGTCGAGAGTGCACTAGTTCGGAATCAAGTAAGATTGTAAGTATTGATGTGTTTGTTCAAAACGTGTCCCCCCTTACTCTCAAGAAACACTACAAAATTTCACTAAATCTGGGACGGAAAATTTCTATCGCAAACCCTTTGTTTTGGTCGTAGAGTTCAAAATTGTGACAGGTCGGCGATAGAATTAATCCGTCGCAAAAAAAAAATTGTCGCATTTTAGATATTTGCGACGGAGTTTTAAATTCGTCACAGTTCTGCGACGGTGTTAGCGACGGCCCAACGAATTTCAGAATCTGTGACAGAAAGCTTGCGACGGAATTTGCAATGGAATAAATACGTCGCAAATGCACCAGATATCAGCAACCTGTTCTGCACCAGATTTCAGCAACCCAGAAGTACAATAACATTGCAACAATACAGCATATAAACAACAGCATTGAAACATCACAGTTTTATTCAAATTCCTTACGAAACACAAATTATTTATCAATTCATTGTCAATCACAACACAATATTTATTAAAACATAATTCAATCAAATTAATTTTCAATCACAACACAATGTTCCATATAACACATACTTATCATAAGTTGTTCATGCGACACAACCAGTTCCCGAGTCTCCCATCCCATCATCAGGGTCTCGAGGTGGAAGATTTCCACCACACATCATTCGAATTTGTTCAGCAACTGTCAACTCAATCTTATCTAACCTTGCCTTCATGAGTTCGTTCTCCGCTCTCAACCGCTCAATCTCTGAAATATCACTAGTGCTCTTTATTCTGCTTTGATATCTAGGTTTAAGGGATTTCATTTCTTCGGCAAGATCTCCGACTCCCTTAATCCTATTCTTTTGATCAAAGCCACCAACTAGCTTAAACCAAATCTCTTGATCTGTGACTTGAAGGCCTGATTCCTCAGCCATTTGTTTCAATTGTACAAAATCAGCCTGTATAATGAAATACATAATCAATATATAATAAAGACATAGAGTATATGTAATTATCACATTGTGGCATTGTATTTAAATTTAAGTAATAAGAAGTGTGCATAATTCACATTTACCTCAAGTTGTGCATTTTCTGGATCTATCCATGTTTTTCCATCATGTTTCTTCGTCTTGGTGTGCTTGAAAGCATCCATCACTGTTACTGGAGCTTCAAACTCTTGAGCCTACAATATAAAAAACATTGTAAGTTCATCAAAAAATGTGTTCATATTATTAATTAACATATAAATTTAGAAGTGAAAAAATATTAATATGCATTGATTCATTCATTCATTCATTACTTACCAATCGGGCAAGGTGTTCAGAGAAAGGAATCGACCCTCCAGTATAGGTCCCTATAGCTACGCCTTCATTCCTTCCCTTTCTTTTATTCTTTTTCTTCACTTCAGATTCTTGCTTAAATTCTTTGGAATTCCAAAACTATACATACTTATAAGATGAGGATTATTAGAAGAAGTTATACATATGGATAGATATAACCCGTATGTTTTACATACTCAATGCTATAATAATATGAATATTAAGAATATAACTTATATGTATAGAAAAATTGTAATAAATTCAAAACTAAATCACCTTGTCCCAACGACCAATAAGCTCAGCACGGGGCTTCTTGTGAACCACTCTTGCATTACGTTGATTATACGTAAAGCGACTATACAATCTCCCCGCCCGACGCATAAAAGCATTCCTGACCATATCACAAGGAATGTGACGATCCCAGCTGCAGTGTTTCTATATTCAAAGAAACCAAAGTTTATGTAGTTATAATTATTTGTAATATAGAACATTGAAAAGTTATAAGTGTAAATACGTATGAAAACCATGCCTGGAACTCTCGCCAGTAAAAATCTCGCGTCTCTGGCCCAACATTCTTCCACTTTGTCCCTTCAGGATCCCCCCTCAAATAAAATGAGGGTGTGATTATGTGGCACGTAGCAGTAGTGATCTTAACCCTTATATTATTTCATAAAAAAACAGAAAAAAATCAATATAGGTGATAATGATATATTAACCTTTTCTTAATTTTCATCATAACTTACTTGCCATAATGAGTAACGTATACATGTTGATCCCTCACGAGTGGGTCCAACTGCTCATCCTCCTCATCGTCCTCCTCTTCTCGGTCATCAACATCATCATTTTCTCTATGCTCACTCTCACTGTCGAAAGATTGCAAATTTGACTTGGGTACGGATGTATGCGATCCTGCAATTATCAATACAAACATTATACATTATTTATGAATGATTCAACATGAATAATTGGGAAGATAAATAATCCTACCAGCGGTGTTAGCACCAGAATGCAAAGGTGTGTGTGACGTGGTCAGAGGTGATGCTGATGCATCCATCTCAAGGGTGGACATATTAGCTGAGGGGTTGCTACAACCTGCTTCGGCATCATCTCTGGATCGAGTCATGAAACTCTGTCGTAGAAGTCTCAAGCTATCTCTCGCCGAACTAACAAAAGATGGCATCTTCGAGCTCTTTTGCTTCTTACCCTTGCCTTTATCTGTCATCTGCACATACAATAACACGGTAAAATAAGATATTTTAATTTCATTAAAAATAATAATATTAAGAATTGAAAATAATTACATATCAAGAATTAAAAGAGTATACTTTATCCCGAATTGTTTTCACTATCTACAAGCTCATTATCTGTTGTTTCCATTGGTTCCATTGAATCTTTAGAACTTAAAATTGGCTCTTCATCTTCCATATTCTCAAAATTTAAATCTTTTTCTTCAAAGTCTGCATTTCCTTCACCTATTAGAGTTACAACATCATTGTTTTCCGAAACAACCATGATGCTAGTTGAGTCTGTCACACTTTGTTGGAAAGGATCCTGTAACAATGCATCTTGGATTTCCTTTGGACTCTCAGTGTCTACCCACCCTCTAGGCTAAACTTTGCAAACTGCCATCCACTCACCTCGATTTTGTTTTGTACATGGATAGTCAACATATGCCACTTGCGTTGCTTGAGATGCTAAAATGTACGATTTGTACCTGTTAAAACGTCCTTTCTTTAGCACTTCAACAAATTTGTAATTCTCATGCACTTTTGTACCAACTTTCGGACGAGGATCAAACCATCGACATTTAAACAACACACATTGTTTAAGGGGTAGATCATGATACTCAATTTGTATTATATCCTCTAAGATGCCATGGTACTCCCCGTACTCTCCTGTAATTGCCACACCAGAGTTATAAGTTGAGCGCTTATAATCATGTTTTTCTGTGTGAAATCGATACCCCTTTACAAAGTATATTGGGTATGGTTTTGCAACCAGTAAGGGACCTCTTGCTACATCCAGAAATAGATCTCCTATTGCATCTTTGTGTTTCTCAGCCTGATGAGAATGTAGGCATTAACATTTAGTTGTATTCACTCTATAGAGGGGTTGATAATATTAACATTAATCTGTTAAAAAAATTTACATATTGTTCAAACCACTTTATGAAATTCTCTATCACTCGGCTCGATATAGATTCTTGTGTAGTGCTTGAGTTTGCCTTTGTAAACTCTTCTATATACATCCTGTAACATGAAAACTTCCAAAAAGAATGATAATATATTCTTTATGAACAATGCATGTTATTCTTAGACCGATCAGCATTGGGATTCGAGGAACAAAAGAAGCACAAATTGAACAATGCAAATAACATATAAACAATTTAAATTCATTCACAACTTAAAAAGTACAAAAAATTACCACCTACGATAACCAAAATTTTAAGATAAGTTAAGAAATTTTTTGATATAAAAAATTAAAAAAATCCTAGAATCATATCAAATAAAACTTTCCTACAATCATATAAAATAAAAATTTCTTACAATGAAATCAAAATTTCATATTATAAGCATATATGATTAACAAAAAATGGAATATAAAAAAGCATATGATAAATTCCTTGGAATAAATTTAATTCACTTTAATTACCAAATTTAATAAAAAAATTGCAAAAATAATTCAAACTTTAAACACAATACTTTTTTTAAATAATTTACAGTGAATCAATTCATCATTATCATGCAATTACAAGAAAAAATTAAGGGGAAAAAATTAGGGTTAGAGTAGTTGTACCTTGGGTCGGCGGACGGCGGACGTGGCGTGGAGGTCGGAGGTGGACTGCCGAGAGCTGTAGGCGGCGGACGGCTTTCCCCTTTCTTCGTTGTTCGTCTCTGCTTGTATGGTTTAGATGGGAAGAACATGACTTTGAGCTAGGGAGGATAAGATTTTTATTTAAAACCTGCGACGGAAATGATTCCGTCCCAAAAACCATCGTAGGCAATGATTTAAAAATATTGACCGTCAAGTCTTTGCGACAAAACACTACTTCTGTCGTAGATCTGCGACGGTGTACCTAAGTCCTCGCAAATAATCCCAAACTTTAAATTCACTTGTTTTTGTCGTAGATTCTGTCGCAATTTGTGACGGAAAATGTCCGTAGCAGATATTCCGTCGCAAATTGAACTAAATCTTGTAGTGAAAGAGTTTATATACAAACTACAAATGGGGTTCCCAACCAATTCCAAAGCCCAATGGATCGGGCCCACTAAGATATGGTTGTTCACCGGCGGTGCCTAACCACATCATTATTCCTAGGGCGGCTATACAAAATAAGTTACAAATAGGGTGGCTAAAACAACTCTGCTAGAGGTGTGGCAAGGGTCCAATTGTGGGCCCCTTGATTTGATCCTTTAGTCAGCTCCCATGCCTATAGCGCTGGTCCGCTGACCCCTCGGGCCGAGGCCAAATATGCGTGATCTGCTTCCTAAAGTCTCCTAACGAAAGGCTTTTGTCATTTTGCACCACGCATCCGCTTCTGATTTTTGCCGTCGCTTTTCCTCAGTCGCCGTCACGCCCTATTCAGAAGGTTAGTTCTCCCATCCCTACCTTCATGGCATCCCCTAAGTCTTCTTCCACTATCCTCGTTGTTGACCCAGCGGCGGAAGCTTTCGAGGAAATGTACTGCCTGAATCCACTCCTTCGCCCTGACGTTCTGGTGAGTGGATTTGGCCGCGTCACAGTTTTGGACGCAGTGCCCCTTCGTGCGACGATCGTCGTGGCATCATCATCCAAGGCACCGCCTTTTAAGGCCAAGAAATTGAAAGTCGTTAGCAAAAAGACCCGCAACTCCCTACTCGTCACCGTGCTGGAAATGGGTCCCATCACAAATACGGGCTGCTAGCTATTAGATTTCGATTTTGAAGAGGCCCGGCGTTTTGGGGGAGGGGTATGTAGTGCGGCGACCGCACGCGACCAACGATGTTTTCTCCGTGACATGTCCTGACGCTGAGGTCGGAGTTCATGTGTCGTCGATGTGCTATGGTCTCTGATTTCCCCTCCACGAGTTGATAGTCCAATTTTTGAACTTCTACCATCTTCTCCTGGGTCAGCTCAGCCCGCATTCCTACTATTGCTTCTCGAGCCTGGTCTTTAAACTTGTTTAGGTATTTGTTTAAAATTTCCCGAGTTGGTCGCAATGAGGGCAATTCGTACGCTACCGTATTTGTTCGGAGCGAGTGCAAAATGGTCACCGTCCCTACGTCCCTCAAATTGTGGAAGGCCAAATTTGTCTTCGTCTCAGGCTTTCCTGGGGATCGGCACCCTTTTGAGGCAAGGTTTCCCGAGTGTCACTCCTTTATTCATCATCCTTGCCCAGAGGCCACCCTAGAACTTCTCGCACATGCGCAGAAACTCTTGGAAGACTGTCGCCCAAAACCTCCCCATGTGTACACACTGTGCACGGAACAAAACTTGGAGAAGGTGGGAATCCTTCTATCACTCGTAAGGGGGGTTTGACCCAAGTACAGTCTCGAAGGTACTGCCCCGGGTTCCACGTTAGAAGAATTGGAGGAGGCGGACGAGGACAAGGAGATAGAATTCGATGACAAGTCGGGACAACCGTCCTGTTCCGAGGACGAGGTTGATGCGGGGTCCTTTTAAGGTCTGCCCTTTGCCTTATGATTTTTCTCTTTATCACTGATGTTAATTTTTGACTTGTGCTGTATTTGGCAAGCAAAATGCAATGACTCCAACTCGCACGGAAGGTTAAGGTGCAAGCCCAAAGCTAAGGCCGAGAAGAGGAGACGCATCACGGGCCGCCATCCAGGGATACTTCCGGGTCCGTCGCGGCCGTCCCCGACCAGGAGGTGGTTCCAACCCGGAACCAGAGGAAAAGGAAGATCCTGCTGGCCGAGGAGGAGAAGGCTGCGCATGAGCAGGACGTGCTTTTGGCGGACGCTCCCCCAGCCAATCACCCGGCCGTGCAAAAGGATGGGAAGCTCGTCCCTCTCACCAACGAGGATGGTGAGGATGTGCAAGCCGAGGCCAACGCTGCGTCCTTGTCCGCAATGCTGAGAGACGAGGGCAAAATCCTTTCGTCCTTGCAAGAGACCATGGACGGGTTTCACAAGGAGATGCAAAAAACCGTGCAAGGGTTTCATAAGGAGGTGAGGTTACTTGCACTTTTTTCTCCTCGCACTTGGAAAAATAACTGACTTTGTTCTCTGACAGGTGATGTCGAAGCTAAGCCTCATCAACGCTTGCCGGTCTGGAGCAGAGTTTTCTTCGGGGGTGAACTTCATGGCCTCGGTGGAGACAGACCTGTCCCACTTGAGGAAATTGGTTAACGCCGAGCACGAGCAGGTGGCGGAGCTCGAGATGCAGGCCATGGCGAAGTCGGAGGAAGTGATCAGGCTGCAAGGCTTGTTGAAGGAGTCAAAAGAGTCGGCAGTTCAGCTGACCAATTCAATGGCCGAGCTTGAAGATAAGCTGCGTCAACCCGAGGGCAGGAGAGCCGAGATGGACATTGAATTGGCCGAGGCTATCTTGCTACAACGTTCTGCCGAGGCAGAGAGGGACCGAGCCGTTGCCGACTTCCTTCAGTCCCCAGCCTTCAAAGAAGCTTGCCTGGGCCAGTTCGCGGAGTACTACGACAGCTGGATCCAAACCGAGGCCGGTTTGAAAAAACTCGGGGATGAGGGGCCCAAATTGCTTGAGGCCGGCGTTTATCATGGAATCCAGCTCATCCTTCGGCGGACAAGGAGAGTGGATCCTTTTTTTCCTCCTCCCCCGGAGTTGATATTCCGGATATGCATGATCCCGATCTGAATGGCGAGCTCGACCCTAATCTAGACTACTTCGGAACGTCGCCCTGGAGAGGCCAATGTCACCGGCGAAGAGCATCACCCCGACATTCTTCCTTAGTTTTTTCCTTTGTATTATTTGATGTTTGCATTCCCTTTGTATTAAATGAGAATATTTCCTGCTTACTGTTTTGCTACATGTGCGCACAATGTATTGATTTTCTTCTGACATTATTTATTTGATTATATTGGATTTGCCTCTTTTGAGGATGTGACCCTTTGGCTTCCCCGTAAAAGTAAACCTAACCACTGGACCGTCACACTGTTTCGTCCAAGTGGCACTATGACCCATTTCAATTTCAACCACTACGACTGTTCACATGGCTTATCTCTTCGTTTTCGGGCCTACAAATTGACTTCACCCTTCCAAATGGATATTCACCACCCCACACATTTGTGTTGTTTTCTTTGATTTTCTTTGATGGCCTCTGATAATCCCAAGGGTGAAGTTCCTTCTTCATCCAAGCCTAAGACCGTTAAGAGTACTCCTCTGCCTCCGCCAGAGGACGAAGAGTCGCGTACTAGCCACTGGTGGACCCAGCTGGAGCGGCTTGTCAGCTTCCTCGAAGGTCCCCCTTCACGGGTTGTGCCGCCGGTTGAGGTTGTCCAGCCAGGCCCTAATGCCATTCCCACGGTCGATGACCACCCGGAAGAGTTTGTCGGCTCATCCTAAGTTTCCCTTCCATGGCCCTTCCACATATCTCCCCATGGAGGTATGTAGAATCGTGGAGGGCCAACGCACGTCCTTCGGCACATGGGCTTCTTGATTTTGAAATCCATGGGGCTCGAGGACGTGTAATCTCCCCCTTTTGGATTTTTTTCTTTTTTGTTGGTCTTAAAGTCCATTGGGAGGGGGAGTACCTTAGGTCTTTTCCTTTCGCAGTGTCGTTGTGTAATAAATGTTTCCGGAGTTGTAACTGTAGCATCGTAGGGCGTGATGTGTAATAAATGTCATATCTCTCGAGATCTCTTGTAATGAAGTTTGATTTTGTATGCAATGAATGTCACCTTTATTTTTTGACTATATATATGTTATGCTACTTGCCTTCTTGTTTGCTTCCTATCGTGATACGATGTCGAGTCTCGGGACCCCTTCCCTCGAAGAGGGCACATATTTCATCCGGGCAACTCCTCCGTGTTCTTTTCTCATGGCGGAATCCGTTTTTCCCAGCTGCCCCGATTGCAGTACGGAAGTATTTTGAATCCGTCGCTTCACCTCGGAGTAAAGAATCCGTCCAATGTCCGCTTCGACAAGAAATCGACGCCACTAATACCCGAGGAAGTCTGGTCGCTTGGTGTGTAAGGTTGGCACTAATGTGCATGCCTATCTCCAAGGTTTCCGCCGTGCCCATCGTAGGAAGATCACTAGCAAGTCCCGTGGGGTGCAGGAGATGACTAACCAAGGGGCATCATCCGTTGATTCTAATCATTCTAAGAAAATGGGTGTTTACTTTGACCATCATGGAAACAGTGCTTCCTATTCTTGTTCTTGAAGGATGCTCTCTTTTCTTTCTCTCCTTTATATATATATATATATATATATATATATATATATATATATATATATATATATATATATATATATATATATATATTGAAAGGAGATATTTTATTAAAATGTAAAAAGAGAAAAGTACAAAGAATGGAGGACTAGGCCAATGCCCCTCTAGAACTGCAAGAAAGGAAAAAAAACAGATTGAAAAAAAGGAAATTGAATGAAAACAAAAGAAAGAGATCATTCCCAGATGATAAACCCTGGGTGTTGATCGAGAGAGAGATTTCTAGGCATTATTTTCTTCGGTCTTTTCCCATTAGTGCCAATTGGACCAACAGGCCCAACATACCAAAAGGGTCCAGAATAAGTTTTGGTAGTAACTATTTTCTCCATAGTAGTAGATTTGCGACTGGGCCAGTATCTCGTGATCTCGCTCACAGTGTCGACTTCGAGATTAGGATCATAGCTTCTGGTTTTGATGGTCCTCGGCATAGCTTGCTTCTTTCTACTTCTTCTATTCTGGACTTCTTGGAATTCATGAGTTGTGTGGTTTTCATCATTGTGGTTTGACATTTGTCCTTCCTCAATGTGAGACCTAATTTCATAAAGTTGACCTTCATGCTCAAAAGAGTGGAGGATCGGTCCAATGTTGGCAGGGTTAACATCAGAGTTGTTTGGTATTGTGTTTTCCTTTGTTGCATCTTCAGCCTTCAGAGTTGGAGTCCCTGTTGTGTCATCCTTTTCTATCTCGGTGGGAGTGTGTACAACCGCCTCCACATTCTCGGTTGGAATGTGTACATCCTCCTCAATATTCTGTCTTGTGAGTACCGGAAATTCATCCAAGATGATTGTATTTCCTACATACCTAGCATTTTGTGCAGTCATACCATCCATGCTTTCCTCATTTGATTGTTCTTGTGTATGTTCCAGAGCTGCTGCCTTAGTTAGATTTTCCATTTCATATTGGGCTGCCACAGAACCCACTTCAGAGTCAGGGATTGAGTGCTCATCCTTGGTGTCTTTTGTAGTGTTGAAGTCAAAACAGTTTGTGATACCCTCAGCTTCTGATTGCTCATCTACTTCATTTGAAACTGCAGCATTAGCTTCAGTGTTAGTAGTCTCAGACAGTTCTTCATGATGTATTGGGATTGTGCACGTCATTGTGGCTAGGACACTAGAATTCTGCACGTCATTGTGGCTATCAGTAAGAACATCACATTGAACATTTAGAGCCTGAGTTTGGGGATTGTCCTCTTTAAAAATGGCAGTGAGGTTAATCTCCATAGCTTCTTGAGGTGCAAGTTCATTTCCCTTAGGCTCTGGGGATAAATCCAAAACATCATGGTCTACCTCTGACTTTTTATGTCCCGCAGTGCTTGGGTCACGTAGCTTCATATCACATGTAGGTGTACTGTCAAGTTTGGGACCCAACTCACATGGGGTATTGAGAAGGGGCTCTAGCATTACAGCAGCGGTTTTTGGTAGGTTTTCCTTGGACACTTCATTCTTGGAAATGGGGCACCAGGTTTTTGACAGGTTGTTCTTGGACAGTTTATTCTTGGAAGTAAGGTTGTCCAAAGTTGAGCATTTTCCGGCTAAATGGCCGGATTTATTACACTAAATGCAGAATTCTGGTAGGTTTTCATAGGTGACCGGTTGGAAGAATCCCACCCCGCCATTATCAATCCATATTTTCTTTGGGAGGTCTTTAGAAATATCAAAAAGAGTTTCACAGACATCCTGGGATCTCAATCCAGCGAAAATAGTTAGTGATGAAGGATGGAGATGTGCCCAAAGTGAGAGGGTTGTGGCAGAGAAGAGGAAGAACAGAAGGAATCTGTGAATAGGGTCTTTATCGATTTAGCACTGAAATTAGACTTGGAAAGTACTCTAAGACACTCCAAAGATGCAGTGTTAGACCAAGAAAGCATCAAGCAATTTGATCAAGTCATATAAGACAACCTCAGCCTCTTTCAGAAATCCATGGCTAAGAAAAAATTCTTACAAGTTCTAAACAAGGGACAAATACTCAACTACTCAAGGGAAGTTCTTCGGGTTACTAGAGAGACAACAAAGAGCTTTGAATACAAAGATGTAGCATTAGTTCAAGGAGCAAAGTACCGGGTCTACCTTGCTTATTCCAATGGGGATATGGATGCCGTTCTCAATCACCTATGCGGATTGCAGGAATGAATAACTCGTCTGATCTATCTTTTATCTGTTTATTTGGGATTCTCTTAGCTCTTATCAGATTATAGTTATTGTTCATGCATCCATTTTAATTACCGGGTTCTATTCTTAGCTTAATCCCCCCTGTGTGGGTTAAGGCATAAGATCTTTTACCCTGCGAACCATATGCAAACGGAAAGGTAAGATACTTTGATAGTTTTGAAGTACTGCACTATGCTGGGATGTAATCAATGAGTTGTCGTGCTGGTCAAAAATACTTTGGGCTTCTCTCCACAGTGGAGGATTTCAAGTTAATTGCTTAATGGATGGCAGGATTCTATTCCAAGGAAATGGAGGTAGACATATCTCTTAGCTTGGGTATTAGGTTGTAGTCACAAATTCTTTTTCCTTTTCTCGTGATGGGAATTTCTATAATGGGGCTATCACTCTTGCTGGCCTCTCTGGACTTAATGGACGAAAGGACCCTCTTCCTCGCTAGATTGATCACATGGATATGCTTGTTGTTAAGCAATAATTTAAATAGATGGAAGACAATGTGGGTCTCTAAACTTCTAGATGGGCTCCTGATTGGTACTTGGGCAGATGTTCTTGCCCCTACTTTGTGTCATTTTGTTTTTGTTTGGTTTTGTTTGCTGTACCTTGATCTTTTCTCTCCTGCTTTGGGATTGCTTGTAGGGACCCATCCCATCCCTCCCTTTGTACTTTTTTTCTTCTCATTTCAATAAACATTTTCCTTTATATATATACACACACACACACATACATACACACATACATACATACATACATACATACATACATACATACATACATACATACATACATACATACATACATACATACATACATACATACATACATACACATATATATATATATATCTGGTGATTGTGTTGTAGTGTCAGTTGACTATTTGGTGCCTCTGAACATTCTCAGTTTTGACCAAACTCTGTTAATCGATTTACTAAATGTGCTAATCGATTATCCTACACATCTGAACCTCAAAGTCCCAGAGTGTTTCAATTTCTATTTTCTTATCCTAAGTTTGGGTACAACATTTGGTATCAAAGCTTGTTGTTAACATCTCTAAAGGACCATACACACTTCCCTCTCCTTTTTCACCTTTCCGTGATAGCTTATCCAAACTACATCATCCTGAAACCCACAAATCAGTTCAACAAAAAATCATGTCACTCCCATGAAGAACTTGTGGCTTCAAATGCAGCCCTGCAAGCTCAAGTTGATTATCTAGCCAAGCCAATAGCCAAGCTCACTAAACAAAAGCTAGCTCTGTTGAAATCAAGTGATGATGAAGAAGAAGCTAGTTCTAGTTCCAACATAAGAACTAGAGCTCAAGATTTTTCCGGTTCTGATTTCAAAGTGGATATTCCCATCTTTGAAGGAAAGAACGATCTGGATGAGTTTCTTGAATGACTAGAAACAGTGAAAAGAGTTTTTGATTTCAAAGAAGTATCCAACGAGAAAAAAGTCAAGATTGTGGCATTGAAGTTTTGGAGGTATACATCTACTTGGGGGTCCAATGTCAAAACCAAGAGGAATCGAGATGAAAAACCCCCGGTTGATACCTGGCAAAAGATGAGAACTCTCTTGAAAAAGTTCTTACCTACCAAATATGTACGTGAGAATTTTGCTAGGCTTTGAATGCTTAGACAAGGTTCAAAACTCGTCGAAGATTACACCCAGGAATTTGAAGAACTCTTGCTAAGGTGCAATCTGCAGGAGAATGAAGAGAACCTTCGTAAGGTATCTTTTTGGCTTAAACACTCAAATAGCCAACACGGTTGAATTACAAGGTTACAATACTTTTGAAGAGCTCACTAAATTAGCTCTTAAAGTTGAATCCCAAATCAGGAAGTCCAAAGCCATTTTCTCCTGAACCACTTCCTCTTACTCAAAACCAACCTACACACCACCAAAATCCACCTCTAATACCCACGGCCTACATCAAAACTCCAAAACCATATCACCTTCCAAATCATCTCCCACCCCTTTTCCACCAAAAATATCCCTCCAACGAACAAAAGAGCTCCCGTTTGTTATCGTTGTCAAGGCACTGGTCACTATGCCAATGAATGTCCAAACAAAAAAGTGATGGCCCTTGTTGAATATGATGATGAAGACTTTGACCACTCCTTGGTTGAAGAAGAGATATCTGAAGAAGAAGAAGAAGAAGAATGTGTTGGCCCGGACGAAGGCGAGCTTTTGGTCATCCAAAGGACCTTAAGTGCCATTCCTTGCCCCGAAGAACAACTACAATGAGAGAACATATTTTACACTTGTTGTACGACTCAAAAGAAGGTATGCTCCCTAATCATTCATAAGTGGGAGTTGTTCTAATGTTGCTGCTAAGACCATGGTGGAAAAGCCTAATCTAAGCTTATTTCCTCATCCCAAACCTTACACAATTCAATGGTTGAATCAAGGTAAAGGTTTACGAGTTGATACCCGCTGTTTGATTTCCTTGAGCATTGGCAAATCCTACAAAGACGATATTTGGTGTGATATCATACCCATGGATGCGTGCCATGTTCTTTTGGGACGTCCTTGGTTGTTTGATAACAAAGTGCAGCATGATGGTTATCTAAACACTTATTCATTCCTAATGAATAATAAAAAGATCACCCTCACACCATTACTACCCTCTTCCTCACCCACGGCCCAAAACTATCAAGAAAATCATCCCACTCTTATCTCCACCATACTCCAATCCGAACACCATGAGTTCAATGAATTCAAAAACCTCATCCTCCTTGATCTTGAAGAAGTCGAACCCAATATTTCTCCCAAACAGCCCCATCCTTTAGCCAAGCCAATCCTTGAAGACGTACCACACAGTCTTCCTCCCAAAAGAGATATCCAACACAAGATAGACCTTGTTCTCAAAGCTGCTTTACCAAACAAACCGGCCTTTCGAATGAATCCCGAGGAAACAAAGGAAATCCACCGCCAAGTGGATGAATTGCTAGCGAAAGGATTCATTAGGGAAAGTCTAAGTCCTTGCGCTGTCCCGGCCTTGTTGGCACCAAATAAGAATGATACTTGGAGAATGTGTTGTCATAGCCGTGCCATCAACAAAATCACCATCAAGTATAGGTATCCCATACCTAGGCTTGAGGACATGCTAGACGAGTTACATGGCTCTACGGTCTTCTCAAAAATAGATCTTAGAAGTGGTTATCATCAAATTAGGATTTTTGAAGGAGATGAATGGAAAACCGCTTTCAAAACTAAGTTTGGTCTTTAAGAGTGGTTAGTTATGCCTTTCGGCTTAACTAACGCCCCGAGTATGTTCATGAGGTTGATGAATCAAGTCTTAAAGCCATTTATAGGTCATTAGAGAAACTAAATTTTTGGGATATTTTATCTCAAATGATGGGATTAAAGTGGATGAAAGGAAACCCAGGCCATTAGAGATTGGCCCACACCAACCACTATGCAACAAGTCTGGAGTTTTCATGGCCTTGCTTCTTTCTATAGAAGATTTGTGAAGGATTTCAGTACCACATCTCCTCACACAGATTTGACCAAGCATCAAAAGTTTGATTGGAATCCAAGTGCACAACAAGCCTTAGAAACTATCAAACTTAAACTAACACATGCACCGGTGTTAGCTTTGCCTAGCTTTGATAAGCTGTTCGAAGTTGAATGCGATGCTTCCGGCGTTGACATAGGAGCCGTATTATCCGAAGAAGGCCACCCCGTGTCATACTTTAGTGAGAAGTTGAATGACACCCGAAGGAGATATTCAACTTATGACAAAGAGTTTTACGCTCTTGTACGATCTCTTGAGCATTAGAGGCATTATTTGATTAGCAAGGAGTTTATACTCCATTTTGATCATGAAGCTTTGAAGTACATCCGAGGGCAACATAAACTCCGACCTCGTCCTTCCAAATGGATCGAAGTCATCCAAACCTTCACCTTCTCCATAAAACACAAGAGGGAACCTTGAACAAAGGCGCCGATGCCTTATCCCAGCGACATTTATTACTAACGGTACTTAGTACCAAACTTGTTGGCTTTGAAGTTTTGCAGGATTGTACAAAGACGATAAAGATTTCAAGGAAGCATACCATAAGTGCCTCATGTTGGACATGAGTTCAAACCCTTTTATTATTTTTCTGGAATATTTTTTGTTTTGATGAATGACAAACAGGATGATGTTAGTCGGTTTAGTCGTTGTGCCCACGCCTTAGAGGGGGGTGAATAAGGCGTTTAAAAACTTTTCAGAGTTTAATAAAAACGGTGTTGGCAAATGCGGAAGCAATAAATAAAACGCAAAAATAAAAGCGTAAATAAAATGCACACCGAATTTATACTGGTTCGGGAAACCCCTACTCCAGTACCTCGAGGCTCCTCCTCAAGGATTTCCGAATCCACTAAGTCTCGGCCTCTTCAACTCCGTCAAAGCACCGCACTAGTTTTGGCAAACAACCCTTGCCAATAGGATTCACTCCGAGATTTCACAACGGCTATCTCGAACCGTTTACAACGAAGATTTAACGGCTATCTTCTACCGTTCCCCCAAGGATTTCAAAGGCTATCCTTGAACCTTTACCCAAGGATTTATACGGCTATCCTTAACCGTTACAACGTGAGAACTTGACGGCTATTCTCGACCGTAAGAAGATGTGTTTGAAGAACACAAAAGTAGATTCTACACAACGGCTAGAATATTAAAATGAAGAACAAAATTTAGCCGGTGTAAAAGGAAAGTATACTCTCTCAAAAATACAATTCAAACTTATGAATATGAGAGTATATAACTAGAAACACAAGCTCAAAGTGTGTGTATAAAAATCAGGAAGTTAAGGCTCTTGAAATAGCCAAAATATTGAAAATAATTAATAAAAGAATGAACACACTTAGAATATAAAGGGAGGATGTTTAGAGCTTTGTTTCTTGAAGAAATATGAAGGATTAGGCTTGTATTTATAGTGGAAGATGTNTTTATGTGATGGTTTTAAACATATTTTGTGAGTGCTTTTGAGCTTGTGAATATAGGTATATAAAGTCATATCCTTACATTGGTTTCTACCTATATTCTACGCTAGTTTAGTGTTTCGACTTCATTCTTGAGTACCGAATCTTAATGGATTCTTGTTTTCCTGAAACACTTAAACAAACGTTAAGCTCTTATATTGTTTGTTAACATCAAAACATGAGACTTAGCAAACCAAGGCTAACAGATGATTATATTCAAGCTGATCGAAAATTTATTTTACGTATCAAGAAAAGCAAAGAGGCATATCAAGATATTTTCGTGATAAAATCAACGCTTACCCCTACGCAGAATTTTGAAGTGAAGTGAAGATTCCGAAGACCTTTTATTTTTTTATTAAGTCTAGGAATATGTGTAAGGATGACAATACTTTCTGCATAAACAAATTAATTTTGAGAAATAAAAATTATTATTTTCTGAGTCAGTTGAAAAATTATTTTTCCTTTGTCTAAAAATAATTTACTGAGTCAGTTTCAAAATATTGTGTCAAAATTTCTTAAAAATATTTTTTAAGGATACATATTTTTTTTGGTAAGAAAAATACACTTTAAATATTTTTTTGTACATCGTTTGACACACAAAATAATTTTTGGACTCACTTTTTCTCCCTTATTCAAATTCATTGAATAAGGGATATTATCTTTGAGGAGCGTTCATGTTATTCTCGTTTTCTCCATTCTTTGGGCCCTTTATGTTTGCGCATTATTTCCACTTTAATCGATTAAATTTTCTAAAATAATCGATTAGATCCAATTTCTCAGCGCTGGATTTCTCAGGCCAATAGACTTAATCGATTAAATTTCTCCATTTAATCAATTAGTTTAAACAGAGCAAGCTAATCGATTTTTTCTCTATTTTTTAATCGATTAATTCCACCTTTGCATTCAGGCCTTTTCGCTTCTGTACACTTTAATCGATTAAAGTCCCTATTTTAATCGATTAATTCTATCTGGTGCCTATTCTTAGTTCTTTTCAATGGCTCCAACGGATCTTTTATCCTCAGCCTATTTAATCCCTCATTCTCCTCCATTTCTACACACTACTCTTGCACTCTAATATACCCTTTGAGCTATATTCATTCCTTATTTCATCTTCCTCATCAAAATATTATTTTTGAGAGTTAGAAATATTTTTCTTTGAGTGCTAAAGAAGTTGTTATCCATAGAGCATTAATCCTTCAACACTACTTTGCTCAAATTGTGTGAGCTTTCATTCTTGTGTTGTAAACTCAATCCTATTTGAGTGTTGCTAAGACTTGTGTGATTCAAGTCTTGTTGTTGTTAAGACTTGTGTGACTGATGAGGAATTTTACTTTAACGCAAAACTCCCGTAGTAGTAAAGGGAACAGACTAGATCTTCTAAAAGATCAGTTTATCCCGTGTCGTCTCAAGGATCGGCCCAAGGGAAAGTTAAGCAAGACTAGTTAGACAAGATTTACTCAATGAATCAAAAAGTTTTCAAAAGGTCGAATAAGGAATGGAGATTGAATTTTTATCTTTCAGAAATAAAAGGTAGGGATGTAATTATTGGTTAGGTGATGGTTCTTTTTAGAGTAAAATCACCAGTTACTTTTACCTTAAATCTTTTTACTAGTAAGTAAACATCTTTTCAA